GTTTTGAACTGCCGACCTTTCAACTAGCAGCCCAACCTGTAACCACTCTGCCATCAGCACTGCTTAGCCATCGCATCAGCTGTGAGTTAATGAAATGCTTGGCAAGTACGATCCTAGAACGATGTTATAGATATCGAAATGGACCTCGGCAGAGAAAGGCTCCCCACCCCTGCATTCAAACATCAGAAGGACTGGGCATACCATGGGGCAGAGGGTCCTGAAGATTCGGGGACACATGCCTCAACGGCGACTCAGAAGCCAATCTTTTCAGAAGCAGACTGCTGCATCTTGCTCACGCGGAGCGGCTGGTGGATTCAAGCCTGCCAGACTTCTGGTTACGGTCAAGCTCACAGCCACTGCCCTTGCCCACCAGGTCCTTCCTAGTGACCGCACTGCCTCTTAAAGTGGCTGTGGGAAGAAGGCATGGCCAGCATGGGGTTAGATGGGCATTGCCATTCACCCTGCATCTGATTCCAGAATGGGAGGGTGAGTCAGGTGTCCTTGCCCTGACCTGTGTCCCAGTCACACCTGGGACAGTTTCTGCATCTGCCTTGGGTCTCTGAAACAGGGCAGAATCAACTGGCCCGGAGAGAGGGTTGCATTGCTGAGTGATGGTTGCTACGTCTTCCTCCAGCAGAGGTCCCCAAGCCACTGCACCTGCCGATTCCAGCTCCCAATCCGAGAGAGGCTTTTCTATGTTTAACGGCTTTCAAAACAAACAAACAAAACTTAAGAAGATGAAGATCATGCAAGAGGCCCCCAGAGCCTACCATCTCGACCACCTGGCTCTTAAACAAACAAACAAACAAACCAAAAAGGAGTGTGCCAACCCTCGCTTCAGAGGAGCCCATGTAGGGCCAAAGAAACACGGGCATACTGACACTGCTCTTTGCTGGTTCCAGACCCCAAGATTCCTTGTGGAAGAAAGGAGCCCGAGTCAGGGCTTTGTTTTTTCTCAAGGCAATAATACGCTTGTGGAAAGACTCTCACGCTTCCCTTCACAAATGGTACAGCGGCTGCAAAGGCCCCAGATAAGCTGCTCTGGGAAGAGGCTTGACTCT